TTACGGGAGAAGACAAAAGATTTTCTAACGGAATTTTTCTTTTACTAAAGGAAAACTCGCCATATTTATATATTTTAATCCATATTAAAGGTTGGCTAGGTGATTGGATAATAAAATTGTTCGGAATGAAAAATTTTTATGACGAGGTAATTTCCTGACGGCAGGTTTGAGGAATGAACATTGCTACCTTTGCTCCAAAGGGTTGATCTCCGACGAAATCTCAGCTAGGTACGGATACAGATGGCTCGTTTCGCATATGCCAGTTTACGCCGTCTCTGGCTTAGTAGACGTGATATCCGACTATCAACCAAAGGGCGTGTGTACTGCTCAACAGTGCGCTTCGTCCTCCTTTATGGCTGTGAGACCTGGCCATTGAGAGCGGAAGACATGAAAAGATTATCTGTCTTCGATCATAGGTGTCTGCGTTCTATCTCCCGTGTTAGTTGGTGGTATAATAAGGTGAGCAATATTGAGGTTAGGCGTCGAGTGCTAGGTAAGGCGGGGAAATCAGTCGAGGAAACTGTGAAATTACATCGACTGAGATGGTTAGGACATGTGTCACGCATGCATGCCTAGTCATCGCCTTCCTCAACAATCGGCAATGTTAGCTGATATGGGGCCAGGTTGGAAAAGAGCTAGCAGCGGTCAAACCAAAACATGGCTTCACCATTCAATGAAATCTACAACAGTTAGTCTGAGCCACGCAGGGAGGTGTAGACTTCCTGACTGGTTGGGGTCCTCGGGATGGTAAAAACCAATGGTTGGAAACAATTGGTGACATGGCTCAAAATCATTCTCAATGGCTGGCTGGCGCAGATGCATCCACTCCTTGTGACTCATGATTTCCAATGAAACTGTTTTGTTCTTCGTTATAACTATTCCTTTGTCTCACACCTCTGTTTACTGTCTATATTATGCATTTCACCTGCTTTCTTCTCTTGCTTTGTGTGCTATGAGGAGGGAGTGTGGCGACTTGAACTGGCGCACATATGTGCAAAGTTCTATGTCGAAAACCGACCGACTGACCTCTGCAGTCACTGACTTCAAATATTCTCAATTTTTTCTCTGCTCTCAATCCAACTGCATCTATTTACTACTGATAAGTCTTGTCAGTAGCGCACACACAACACGGTTACTTTTTTTAATGGGCAGTTGCACTATCTATCTTCCTTAAATAGAATCGATGAGTAATTCGATTTGAGGCTACCAACATTATCTATAATAAGCAACCGGCGAAATTGTTTTTAACTGATTAAAAATGCCCATTAAAATTTTCAAAAGAATAGACGGGGAACAAAGAGTACTCTTTTCGATAAATTCATCATCAATTTCTACAATTATATATACATTATAGTGAACGAATGAATTAGTGTTATGAACAACATTAATGCTTCTGTTTAAATAACATCAAATCAATAATATTGATAAATTACAGCTGAACAGCATCAACATAAAATAAACTGAATGTCAGGAGAATGAGGAAAGGTAATAGTACAAATTCATGAGTTTATAGTCTCTACTGAGGGCCAGAGCAGTAGTAGGGACTGGACTTGTTTCTTTTGGACACAGAGCACTGGTTGTCTGAGGCGAATTACAATAGCCTCTGCTGTTTGGAGCATGCGGTGCCTGGACGATTTTGGTAGTTTGGTAGGAACCCGGTATATTATGGTGAAGGATTCGTCTACGCTGGCTTTGTGACCGGTTTGCACCAGATGGTCTAATATCGAGCTGTTAATAGTTTTAACTACACCTTTACTTAGCCATAGTGGGATATGTTCTCGAGCATGAACAATCAAGTTCCTAGAGCAACGGCCAACATAACTCGCTCAACAAGTGCAGTTGAATTGATAAATACAATTTGAAGTGGCCAGCTAGTCTAGGTACTTCATCTTTCAGTCGAGGTAGCACCATCGGTTGTGTAGAGAATAATACGTGTAGTTCGCCAGCATTAAAAGTTCTTTGAACTGATTTTCTAATTTCTTCGTAATTATCTCGCTTGGTTTATCGCCCATGAATCGCAGTGGTATATAAAGTGGCTTCTTGTTTACAGATAGTGGGTAGTACTTTTCGGCTTTCTTTGTCATATATTTCTTGATAAATTTGTCAGGATAAGCATTTTCGATTAAAGTATCATATACCATGCTTAATTCATCTTTAATTACTTCTTCAGAGCATATAGCTCTAACTAACTCTGTGGCTAGGGGTCTTCACTAAATTCCTTTTGTATTTGATGGGAATGAAGCTGTGAAAGTGTGTATATTGTCCCGTCCAAGTACTTTTTCTATGTAGATTTCTTTCTATGCTACCATCTGGTTTTCTTGTAAGGAGGACGGGTATCTACAAAGGCAATTCTGTCTTGGGATTCCTCTTGGCATGTGAATTTCAAAGTGGAGAATGTACTTCATTGAATTCAGTAATTATTGTACTCCTATCGGAACCATTATAACAAAGAATAAAGGTATCATCCATATATCGGCAATAAAATGAGAGCTTACTGATAAGGTTGTTCAGAGGTCCATTTTCTAGCTTACTTAGAAAGAAATCAGCCAGAAATTGTTTTTAATTCTAGATTGTGAAGCAAACTCTGCATAATCCATCTGTGCTTGAATTCTCCTCATACTATCTGGAATAAGATGAAAAAAGGCTTAAGAATAATTCGAAATAATAATAACACGAATTCTTTTGTTTTGTTTAGAGAAACGTGAACTATATCGATCAGTTACTAGGGTGTGGCCATTCTTGTTTTGTCTCACTTGGACTCCTCCCTAGTGTTTTAATAGCATTACTAGGCGTCAAATCGACGTCAAATCTAAGATGGGATACAACTTTCCCCAGACTATAGATACTATTTTATATATATTTATTTTATTATAGCTTGATTTCACAAGTATGAAATTTTCAGCGTGTGATATCGGTAGCCCAAATTTAGCAGGCCGACCATAGATATCAGGTGTGCGTCGGCGGGGGATCGAACCTTGGACCATGTGCATGGTCAAATCGGTGTCAAATCTAAGATGGGATACAAGTTTCCCCAAACTACAAATACTAACGGAAATATAATACATAGTGTTCAGTGAATAGTCAGTCTCTTTTCGGCGGCAAATTCGTTCACTTAGCTCTGCAATAACAAATATATATATGCTTATTTTTCTTTGTGTGTGTGTGTTTACACTAAGTTTGTCTGATAAGAATAATAACAAGCTAGGGTTATTGTTGTGAAGACATTTCAAAAATGTGATGAGCAATCAAATTGTAGCTGGAGAGGGGGTTCGGGGTGAAGATTATTGTTGTTACTGTTAATCAACGCATAACAGAAGTTGAATAAGCTCAAGACAGTTACGCAGTAAGATCAATAAATAGTTCAATGAGTGAAGTGTGATTAGCGTGCACATAGAAACGAAGGAAAATATGGAATTATGTAAGAGTTCTAGGAAAACTACAAATATTATGAGGAGCTAGAAGAAAAGGAAATAAGCACACAAACAAACATCAAGTGAGTAGAAGTCAACACGGTTGTTACTCATAACTCTGGTTTTTCTAACTGAATGAATGAATGGCTAAGCAATACAGAGGAGACGGAAGAGTATTGTGTTTGGTAGGTTGTTCTTCACCTTGGAGATCACTCTGAAGCAGGAGGCGTTTTTTGAGATGGAATCCCAATGGGAAGTGACGAGTGGCTGGTGGGTGTTAGGGTGACATGGAGGAGATTGTATGTGGTGGAGGAGGAGTGGATGAGAAATTACTGGCAATCGTGGGGCTAGCCAAATGATTAGGACGGTAACAAATAGAATAAAGTAGAAATGTGTTGTTGAAGCTGTATGTTCCACTAGGAAATCAAAGGAATAATAATAATAGTTCACATCGCAGGAATGACAACAGCTCTAGAAAATGCAAACCGACTGTAGGTTTCACTGAAATTACTATTATTTTTTTCATTCTATATGATAAGTACTACGCGTGGTTGTTGTAAATGTAAGGTACTATTTAATCATTATTATTGTTTCGCTTAATTCCTAGAGGAGCATAGGGCTTCAGCCGCCCAAGTCTCCATTGCGTTCGGTTCTCTGCTAGAGTCTTTATCTGGTTCCAAGTCTGTCTACACTTTTTTATCTCCTCTTCACATGACCTCCTCCAAGTCACCCTCGCACTGACGACCAACTCGCCGCTTCCCTTTCGGGTTCCCATCGGGCAATGGCTTGTCTAGTGATATCACTCACTTGATGGTTTCCTCAGAGTATGGCCAATCCATCTCCATTTCTTCCTGCCTATTTGTTTCACAATCGGTTCCTGGTTGGTTTGCTCCCACAGGTCCCTATTGCTGATCTTTTCTGGCCATCTGATCTTGAGTATTGAGCGAAGACAACTGTTAATGAAGGTCTGTAGTTTGTTTGCGGTGCTCTTTATGACGCGCTGGCCAAGTCTCTGATCCGTATGGTGAGTAGCACTGACTGACTTCACATTGGAGTTGAAAATCCGGATCTTATTTTTGATGCTGAGTAGTGCTGAATGTTGACCTCCACACAGACTTGAGAGTAATGAAAGCTTGTCTTGCTTTTCCGATGATCCTCGCTTTGATATCCTCGTCAGTTCCGCCTGCCCTATGACACAGCAGCAGGAAGCGCGGTCATTGTTAATCCTGGCCCCGATCGATATCGGCATGATATTTTGTGAATTTGTTTGAATCATAGTATTGGATTGGGTAGCTGCTTTTTGTCTAACCGCTATCCAAACAACAAGTTTTCTGGCATGGTAGGAGCTACAGGAACCTCAGTTCCAGCCAGTGTAGTTCGTTGGGTCATTGCGATATGCAAGCCCGACCACCACGTCAAGGTAGCAGCTATCGGTCGGGAAGGTATTATTTCAAATGTTTACTAAATAGTGTACAAACTGTGATACCTAGCCTACTTATCCAGTAGCCTATTTTTGCGTAACATACATATTTCTTTTTGAAAATTATTCACTTTATCCAGTCCTTATTATTTTTATTACTACTTTCTCAGCACATAGATATAGATCCGAAAAATGTGCATATCGATGGAACAACCGGTGATCCTGATAGAGAATGTGAATCTTTTGAAATGGAGATCAAAAACGCTGGTGGCATTCATCTATTTGTCGGTGGAATGGGCTCAGATGGTCATATTGCTTTCAATGAACCTGCTTCTAGTCTAGTGTCACGTACACGTGTTAAAACATTGACAAGAGAGACTGTCGCTGCTAATGCAAGATTTTTTGGAAATGATATCACTAAGGTAGAGTGTTATAAGCTTCGTTTAATATTAATAATAATAATTTGCTTTATTCCAGAAACAGTACTAGTGGTACAGTATGGAATTTTCAGCACATATCTACAATATTTGCATCTAATTTTATTAAACATTTAAAAGGAGTATTTCAAAAAATTAATAAATATAAAGACACCAACAGCAAAAAAGGACAGGATAAACACAAAATAATTATAAATGCGAAAAAGTACAAAAGTCTACCAAAGTCTAATGCAGTGTTTGTGGTGGTAGTGTGAGTAATCCTGAATAATACAAAATTTTTAAGGTGGTGACAATGGCGTTCACAACCAAGATTGTCAGTTTAATATTGCCGAAAAGTATAGAAAATGAGCAAAAACAACCACACAACTAATAATTACATGATGGTTAATGACAGGACAATTTTGTAATACTCATAGTGCTAATAGAGTCGGAACCAGTGGATACACAATAGAAGGAATATAGTAAAGTACAAAAAGTAAGCCAACGTTAATAATTTAGGTAGCTAAGCATGTTTGAGAAGGAGTTCACTAAAGAATACAAAATAAGAGAGAAATAAAAGAGCCTAAGATTATGTTATTAATAACAAAGTAAGTCATAGGTTTCACGCTTAACATTGTCTCTGTCACTTAGAACACGGGCCAAGTATGGTATCGTTGAGTTCCTGTACTTGGTTGTACGAGCATAGATTATTTTATACTGATTTCTGGTTCTACTTGATGAGATACAAGGCGAGAGTTGGGAATAGAGGGCGTGTTGGGGGTCGGAGAGTATGGTTTTTGACCATTTTTCACATGTATTAAGATGCCTTTCAACTAGAGTAGTGACGAGCTGACTGAGTTTTACACCACTAGTCCTACTAACTACCTTCAACATCCTTCTCAGGATGGTATAGTCCTTTTTCAGCAGCCCAGGAAAGACTCACGGGGAGCAGTGAAGTAGAATAGGTAAGATACAAGAGTTGACAAATTGTGAAAGTAGAGGTTGGGTGATTCCAGATTGTCTAAGTTTCTTAACGTAGTAGGTAAGACGGAACATTTTCTTAGAAATCGTTTGGATATGAGATGTTCAAGTAAAATCGGAAGATAGAACTAGACCGAGGTATTTTGCATTAGACTTAGTGTCAATTTTAGTCCCCTCAATGCAACGGTTTTCATGAGAACTTACTAGTGTTTGTAGATCTCGTTTATGCCTAAGGGAGAAGTCAATAGTCTGGCATTTTAAGGGAGGGATTCAGCATGAGACCATTTAGTTTGGACCACTGACTGATGTCCGACAGGAAGCTATTTAATTTGAGACAGTCTGACTGAGACTTAATGGGAAACGATACAGACAGGTCATCTGCATATTTGACGAAGTTGATTTCATCTGAGAGAGGTAAATCATGTACGAAGAAGGAAAAGAGAAACGGAGAGAGGACAGCACCCTGAGGAACTCCAGCTTCAGTAAGCAAAGGAGAGGAAGATACACCATTATATACCGTGTACTGCATCCTATTAGAGAAGTAAGAGTGTAGCCAGTTGATAGCCCAGGGCTCACTTTGTATAAGGCTAAGCTTGTTTAACAATAGGCCTCTAGGTACAGAGTCCAAAGCAGATGTGTGGTCAAAGAATGTACAACGGACAAACTTGGCCCCTTTGTCTAAGGGAGGATACAATGTTGTGATGAAACACAGCAGCAGCGTCCAAAGTACTTCTACCCTGTTTGTAAGCAAACTGCTTTTGGTCGTTTGAGAAACTTAGGGAGGGAACAAGCTTTAGTAACAACAGTTTCTCCATTAGTTACAAAAAAGGAGAGGTAATAGCGATAGGTATAAACTTAGCATTATTACCAGAACCTGACTTGGGTACAGGGATGATTTTAATATGTTTCCACAGAGAAGGGACAACATTATTGGAAAAAGAAGTGTTGAAAACGTTTGTAAGTGGGTTACTTAAAATATCAGCACATTTCCTTAGGACAACGGCAGGTATACCATCATCATCATCAACTGGATCTATACTAATCATACAGCTGCTTTTTTTCACATCGAGATTACACTGAGATCATGTGGTTATTTCAAACCATAAGAATTATCAGTTTTGGGTAGAAGTGAGTGAAAATAAGAAAAATAAAGAATTGAAAACATTTATTTCTCGATACGAATTTAAAACAAGCAACATTGGGGGTGGGGGGTAATAAAGCAGGATTTAATGAGTTCATCAAATTTAGGTAGAGCTCTTCAGCTGCTCAGTGCTCTACATACACGGATATACATATACTTTTGAAATTACACTGGGAGATATAAGACTGATAAGTAGACAAACTTCATTGAATTATAAGATTTGATAGTGTGGAAAATTCCCATATTATGAATTAAAAGTCAATCTGAACGAAAAATATTCTTTTCAATAATTTCTCTTCAGGTTCTTACAATTATAAAATATAATATTTGTTGTCGTTACAATAAATATTATATTTTATAATTGTAAGAACCTGAAGAGAAATTATTGAAAAGAATATTCTTCGTCTACATTGAATTAGTCATGCAGAAAGACAGGTGTAAATGTTTTTCCAGGTCATGTGCAATTAGATAAGGAGAGGAAGGGAGTATGAGAGATCAAAATTAAGATAAATTGCATTACGCTTCAACTGCATCATTTAGATAAACAATTAGACATTAGAGAATTTAACAAAAACTACAAACAAAGTAATATCAATAGTAATAATAATAATAATAGTGTTGAAGTGAGTTAAGATAATGCTACCGATAAAGGATAGTTTTAAATGAACCAAGAATAATGATAATAATAATAGTAATAATAATAAGAGGTAGAGTTATAAGTAAAACGTATTACCATGGTAGATTCAGAGTCACGACCATCTCCTTTTGTACACAGAGACCTGGTTTGTAAACTCGAATTCCACAAGCCTCTGCAATTGCAAGCATCTTCTTGTTTCATTGTCTGCTGACAATAGTGAATGACTTGACCGTGTCAATATCATGTCCGTAGTCCACAAGATGTTTTTTGTTATTGAAGTTGTTTTTGGCACTTTGAACTCAGCTGTTTCCAACCATTTTGGCAGATGCTCCATCATGCGAGTAGACAGTCGCCTTTCTGTACGACTTATGTATTTGCTTCCACAAACACACTCAAATTGATATACGCAGTTTGAAGTGTCGAGGATTGGCGACTGGTCTTTCCCAGATTGTTGAAGCACTCGCTTAGTGGTGTTAAGGAAAACAAGTTTTGCAGCATAATAAGTTCTCTTGATAGCTTTATCGAGTCTGAGATTATGAACAGTCGTAGATCCCTCTGAAGAGGACAGTAGAAACTAGAAGGAAATGGAAATGTGTTGTTGAGGCTGTATGTTCCACTCGGAGCCCGATAGATTAATAGTTATAATTATTTACTGGTTACTTACTCATCATCTTATTCATATCTTGTCTTTATTGCGTAACTCTCTTGCCATTGTATTCTGGCATTAATTTTTCCATTCAAACTTGAACTTCCTAAAAACAGAAGCTTTCATTACAAAGGTAATTTCTGAGCACTGTTTGTTCAGTTTGATGCCTGCTGTCAAGTGCTGTTTGTTATTGTAACATTTACAATTAATTAGTAGTATTTAATTGGTGGATGGTGACTAGCAGTGGAATACAGTCAGGATGCGCGTTTCGTCCTATTTGGGACTCGTCAAATGCATATACCTGTATTCCGCAGTGAGTGATGATGTTCCCACAGAGGCTTGAATCCAGTAGTGCCCATAGTTTCAAACGTCAAAGAGTTATTCCCTAGACTGCTTGGGCAATTTTAGATTTTCCCGTCGATTGATTGGACCGAAGTGCTTGGTCTCAGGTTGACATGTCTGTCGGCTTCTTGTGTGTAGATGCTGCTACGATGTTGGGCCGTGTGATTAGACTCCTGAATAGGATGCATCCTGGACTCCACTGCTAGTCACCATCCACCAGTTTTACTTCTAATACATCGCCAGACATCGTCGAAGCATCTGCACAAGAAGCCGACAGACATGTCAACCTAAGACCAAGCACTTCGGTTCAATCAATCAATTGACAGTAAAATCCAAAGTTGTGTTGAATTCAACAATTTGCAAGTATGTTAACATTGTTTCTGTACATAAAGTTAATCATTATTATTTCTGAGGCGCTGCTTAGCTAAACTGATGAGAAGCCAACGAATTAAGCGATGATGACTTACTGACGATGCTAGCAGCAATAACACAATAAATTTGCTTTTGAATATATTATATTATTAATTCTGTTTGTATTTTAGATAGATAGATATAAAATTTACGCGTTTGTATTTCATCTGATGAAAGGAATTGTCTCCCTTCTATCTATCTATCTATCTACCATGCAATAAATCAGGTTCCTAAACGCTGTTTAACTGTTGGTGTTGGAACTATAATGGATGCAGAGGAAATTATGATATTAGTTACTGGAACCTCGAAAGCTCTGGCTTTACAGAAAGCGATTGAAGAAGGCGTTAATCATATGTGGACAGTATCTGCTCTACAGGTGAACACTAATTTCAGCCTTTAATAATAATTAATCCATTATAATAAAGGGTTTTCTTGTATTTCCCGATGAATGAATGAAAAAGAGGAAAACGATATTGTCGCTTTTACTGACGTTTCGCTGTTCAATGCTGCTGTTGCTAATAGCTTTATCAAAGCAGTATTATTAAACCAGAAGAGTTTACAAAATCCACTCAGCATATATGTAACAAAGAGTTAAGAGGTGAGAAAAAAACTACTAAGGTCAAGTTAAAAGGAGGACATATTTAAAGTCAAAATAACAATGAAGATCAATCACTAAACCAAATAACAGAGGTAACAAAGGTACATCTATTATGATATCAAAATAAAGTTTACTAACTTGATCGTCGTTCGTCAGTCTGGGGTCATTTTTCGTTGTCAAGCTGGCCGCCAAATTGGTAGAGATAACAGAATCAAGTGTAGATTGTTGGATTTGATCAGTGTGTAAAAAT